AGAAGATGATTGTTCCCACATCTTTAAAGTGATATGTACAGGTGCAGAGGAGAATGAAGCATTGCTTATAAGAACGTGGAAACGTTACAAATGCCAAACTTTGGAGGGAAGCTCAAAAGTAAAGTCCAAAAAAAAACAATATTTACTAGCAATAAATTTGAACGGTTACCCTATTTATATTAGCATTCAATGAGAAGTTGTGTTTTCAGTCTAAGAAAATGCTAAAAACAGCCTGTAGAAAAAAAGATGGAAAATTGTACCTCGCTCAGAGGCCTATTGTTTAGCCTGTTGCCCCTGGAATTGCCATTGCATTGTTCGAACAGGTTCAACTCTACTATTTCACCTCCATTTTTGGTTTTTCTAACATTCTCCTGAGTCTCTTCCATTTCATGGTCCAACCCAGTTTTCTCGCTTTCACAATATCCAAATTCCTGGCTTAGATTCAGTGTAGGGGATTCATATACATAACTTGAAAACCACTTCCCAACATCAGGAGGCTCTGATGAAAAAGCAAAGCAAAAATCAGTCATTGTCCTTGTGTTGTCACAAGTTCAAATCTTAGAATTGAATGCCAAATAAACTTGATGGTAAGGGTAGAGTATTGATTTTTATTGGCAAATTGAATTCCAGAGAGAATGGTACAAACCTGACAGAAGCGACTGGGAGCACCATGAATCTTGATTCTAACATAAAAGTAAAAACAGAGAAATTGACTGTTAGACGTTAACAACTTTGAGCTCTCATTCAGCTGCTTGCCGACAGTTCAATAACATTAAAAGATCCAATTTCAGAAGAACCAGAAGTATTTTACGGTTTATTCAATGATACTTTTGAACTAAAATTGTTTACTAAGTTCTAACGATGTTTTCTTTAAAGAACTTTTAAAAAATGGAAGAACTTGTTTGTTTTTCAAATTTGACAGTAAAAAATAGAAAACAGAACACAAATAATAACCTTACTTTTTTAGAACAAACGAAAAACCAAACAAAAATTCATCATCCAACTAAGTCTAAGTTTCTACATTACTTGATCCCTTAAACTATTTCTATAGCCGATTAAGGCCTTTAAAATTTGGCTAATTAACAATTGAAATTTTCTTTTAGTTGCATCATGTCTTGTGTTGATTGAATAATCCAACAAAAAAAAGTGACAGAAGTTCAAGCATTAGGTGGGAGATCTAGCCACCAAATTGTAAGCAAATACTTATTTTGAAATTAATTGAAGAACAGAATAGTTGAAAGGAAGAGAAGTTTGTATACCATGCCTAAAGGCCGGCTTTCGCGATGATCTTTCAGTGAAGTGCATTTCATAGAAATCCATGCTCCGGGAAGCTTCTCAGCAGCTTCTTCTTCGTCAATCTTAGTAACATCCCTAGATTCACCAATGTTTTCTCCAATTACTCCATCTTCCTCGCATGCTGTTTGCTCATCCTCCTCAACCCCAAATTCTCTCTCCCTCGAAATGGAATCTCCAAAATTGTCATTTGAATCAAGTTCGGGGGATTCGTATACATAGCTCGAGAACCAGTTCCTGATATCAGGCGGTTCTGATGGAAATTAACAAACGAATGAAAGTAAGTCCAACTATATCCTAACTCAAAAACTCGTAAACTTGTTCAAAATCCTCCTTAAGTTTACTATCGTCATGTGCCATAATTTTCTTTCCTGCATTTTCTCAACATCCAAACACACATTAAATCGATAAATCAGGGAGAAGCGTACGAACCTGAAGATGGCGAATGCGAGAACGAAGAATCCAGAACCTATAGCCATAAAGAAATAAAAAAATGCAAACGAAAGGGTTAGAAGTAGAAATTTGAATCTAAGATTGCACTATTAAGCTGCTGCAAATTCGCTAACTCGAAGTAAACAAATCATTGGAATTATCACATCAGTAAACACTAAATTCTCCCGCAAAAGATGCTTGTAATTCCTCATATTTTCGCAGGAACCAAACACAAAATGGAAATCAGTAACAACAGCGAATTCGCAAGTAGAAGAAAGCAATACCCGAGAATCGGAGAGGCTCGAATTCTCCATGGCTCCAGTTTCGCTACAATCAAAGGATTCAGAACACAATCAACATCTGATTCATGGAGAAATGATTTTTCTCTTCAAAATTTGTAGATTTTAATTTGAAACTCGCGGGACCAATTGGCGCCATTTTGTTTCTACCCAAGCTTGAAAATCGGTTCAATTTCGGCTGTGAAAACCCAATTTTACCCCTAAATTTCTTATTAATGTCTACTAATTCACCATTAATTTAAATACAAAAAATCATTCCTGAACTCACTTATTTTAATAATACCCATTTTCGCACAAATTTAAAATTAATTACTCCACATATTAATTATTGGATAATTTTATCAAACCGACAAATTTCAATAAAAATGTACCTCAAATATTATTATTTTTTATATATTATCGATTTTGTACCCTATAATAATAATTATTATAATTATATCATGAAAAAAAAAAAACTCTCTTCTCTTAAATGCTTATTTATTTGTTTTGAAGTATTATTTTACTAATAAATTGTCATCGACTTAAAATAATCATTACTGAATGGTTGACACTCAAATCTGAAGTATTAAGCTTTAATTGTTTTTTTTGCGTGAAAATATAAGTCAACCAAGACCTCCTAAAGAACCTTCGGCAAACGATTTGTTTCAACAACTAAATTAGCCCATTTTACAAAATTGATTGGGTGACTTGGTTGGAAGGGTTCTTAGTGGAAAGAATAATCGATGAGAGACAAATTCGACTATCTAGTCAGGATAGATGAGTGCATGTGTAGCATGCTCCAAACGAGACTGACCTTGAGAGTCTAGTACGGTTAAAAAGAGGGTCGGCTGTCTATACGACATTTCACGTCGAATTTATTTGACATTAAATATAAAATTTATCTTGTTTATCACTAATTTAAAAAAATACTTTGTTTGTAATATTTTAGAAATGTTTTTTTATGTATAAATTCTGTTTTAGTGGAGTTTGTTTATTATGTAATTTTTATTTTAAATTTTAAAATAATTAAGAAAAATATATATAAAAAAAAAACTTTGATATATTATTTAATTTTATAGAAAAAGCGTAATTCATGTCATAAGTCCATTTTACTTTTGTTAAATTAAAATATTTATAGTATCCTAAATTATATTATAAAATAATAATTAAGTTATAAAAGTTATTATTCTCTAAATTGGAATTTTTTTAAAATTTATTCCCAAATACATATTTTTAACATTTTTAACATGAATGAACTATTTTTTTCTTTCAATTATTTGAGCTCTAAATTTTCAAATTTTTATATGAGATAAAATTAGTAATGAAAATAAAATAAACAAACCCAAAAATCTATATCGAATTATAATATTTACAAAAGCATAAACGAAAATATGTGAGAGCTATAACATATTAGTTATTGATACGATTATCGAATATACATCAATATATTAGGTTAGCTTATAAAAATCATGATATATAGAAAAAAATGTTGAATTATAACTTTGCCATTTGTTTAAATAATATTCGTCTTTTAAGAAATTACAATATTACCCTTGATATTTTATAATGGTTTCAAACTATTATTGAAATAGAAACGATTACGACACTTGATTGTATCAAACTTGACACGTCGATCTAAAAAATACATACACTATAATCATTAGTTGTGCATAGCCAACATAGGTTAAACATCTGTTAGACATGTATCAAACAATTATTTAAGTATACTAATTAGACCTAGAAGTGTGTGCAAAAAAAATGCATTTTGGAAGCCGTGTCCTTATCGTGTTGCGTCATATATTTAAAAAGACAATTTGCTTTGTGTCTATGTCGTGTCAGCCGCAACTCCCCGATACGAAAAAAATTAGAATAGATCATATACTAACTCTCTTTCTCTGAAAATATAGAAGGAAGTCTGTGCACCAATATCCGTCGTAAAAGGGCCAAATCATAACAAATGGGTTACTCTGATATAGTTGACTCTTTTAGGTATTTAAATACAGATGAGAAGCTATAAACTCTGAATCTCAACGTGTTACATAAGGTAGATATTGTATAATTGTTTGGTTGTGTCCTATATTTAAAAAGACAATTTGCTTTGTGTCTATGTTGTGTCGTAATTATACTTCTTCGATGTCAACTTTTCATCCAACATTTTAACAAATTTTCTACTCCAATGTTAGTATTGGAACATTTATGAAAAGTAAAAGGTAATATTACGATTTTCACACCGCGTAACTTGATCGCATCCAAACTCAATGAATGTATGCATAGTTCAGCCCATCTACATTATAGAATATAGCATTAAAATTAGCTGCTGTTCAGAACTGGACGAGTTCTACCAACAGGCAGAGCATGAAGCAAGGGGAAGATCAAAGAGCATAATAGTGCTATTCACCAATAATATTTTCTAATTTGTACAGATGGTTCTTTTTTTTTTTTTTTTTTTTTTTTT